TTTAGCAATATTTGATATTATTGAGTCATTTTTTGAATAGATACGAGTGGTTTGGAGGTGAATTCCAAAGGAAAAGGTGTGATTGAGAATTAAGTGGCCTTCGGAGCGAGGTAAGTGTTGTGTCTAACCCTGACTTGAGTGAATTAGGAACCTTAGATTATTTTCTAAGTGAAATTCATGTGAGCGGCGTATATGTGAGGTGACGAGTACTTATGCACCGCCAATTTACTTATTTTCTGTGTTTCTCTGTTTTTCTTATATTGTCTTTTTCCAATGCCAAATTGCTATGTGTTATACGAGTGTTGTTCAATTTATCGTTCTTATCATGTTTACGGATTTTCTGGTGATAATTGAGTTTTATTTCAAAGTTGAGATTGATATTATGGAACCAAATGTTGAAGTAAGGTTTGTACTTGTTATTCTATCTCCCTGTTGTTATTTATGCATTGCATTATAGTAAGAGAGAGTGTTAATGCACGAATGGTGATGTCGTACCATATTGTGAGTGTTAATGCACGAAGGGTGATACCGTGCCATATTGTGAGTGTTAATGCACGAAGGGTGATGTCGTGCCATATTGTGAGTGTTAATGCACGAAGGGTGATGCAGTGCCATGATATGAGAGTTAATGCACGAAGGGTGATGCCGTGCCATTTCTATTAATTTTATGGTGAGATTGAGAGTAAAAGCACGAACGGTGATGCCGTGCATTTTTCCTTATTGTATTCACTGCTCTTGTTGATTCATGGTATATTGACTACTCCGATGATCATTCTGTTGTAGTTTTTTTATCTTGTATTCCCCTCAGCATTTTTCGCTCCTGACATTTCATGTTTAGTCCTTCATTTCTGTTATTTGTATATACACTGTTGAATTGTACATGTTGATTTGTAGGTGCCTTGCCTTAGCCTAGTCACTACTTCGTCGAGGTTAGGCTCGACACTTACCAGTACATAAAGTTAGTTGTACTAATACTGCACTCTGCACTTTCTATGCAGATTTTGATACCGGCTCTGGTTGATCGAGATTTTGCTGTTGGTCCGTTGTCCGGAGACTCAAGGTAGATCTGTCGGCGTCCACAGACCTTGAAGTCCCCGTCTATCATTTTTGTTCTATTGTTTCTTTTATTCAAACAGTTGTATTTCTTTTAGACTATTACTTGTAGTAAATTCTAGAATGCTCGTGAATTGTGACTCCAGATCCGGATGGTAGTAATTAACACAGTTTTACGATATTCCGCACATATTATTTTTTATTTGAGTTAATTATTGTTATTTACTAAATCAAAATAAGGAAATGGTTTAATGATTTTCTAATGTTGGCTTACCTGGCAAGTGAAATGTTAGGCGTCATCACGGTCCCGTCGGTGGGAAATTTCGGGTCGTGACATTTAATTCGGAATTTGGAAGTGATCGGATTGAAATCGGAGCAATTGATTCCTTAGTTTGGCTTTAAAAGGGGCAAGTTTGACTTCGGTCAATATTTTGAGAAAACGACCCCGAAATCGGGATTTTAAGATTCCAACAGGTTCGTATTATGATTTTGGTCTATCTTTCATACCTTTAGATTTTTCTATTATTTATCTGTCGCGTAGCTGCGTTATGTCAAGCATGCACTCATAATTAGTTTCTGTATTGAATATAACTTTTGTATCTACTTTTTTGGTAGTGCACTTATTAGTCGATCTTTCACGAAAATAACATTAATTTAACACTTTAATAATATCCAAACTCTACCAGGAAGTTACATGGCTCACACACATGTATGGATATTCCTACAAAGTACTATCGTTGAGTTTCTCTTCATTACTCCCTCTAGTTCACACTAAGCGATTATTTTATATTTTTATTTTAGTCCAAAATAAGTGTCCATTTACATATCAAGAAGGAATTAATTTTTTTTTTTTTAAAATTTGCCCTTGTGTCAAAGTAACAATCAACTGAGGTTAATTTAGTGAATACATCTTTTTTCTCTAGGAGTTCGTATTTCCTTAATGGTTGTGCCAAATATAAAATGGTCACTTATTGTGGACCGGAAGAAGCAACAATTTTCTAGAGGAGGCAGTGTCGCTTCAATATCATTTAAATCCACCTGGCAAAAAAGTAGAAAATACAATTGCATGATTTTTTAAAAGTATGCAATGTATAAAAACTATTTTTGTAAGTTTGAAAAGAATGAAGCTAAAAAATGCTTTTATTGAGGATTGAAGTTTGCCGCCCAAGAGTAGCCTTCAATATTATTTTTTATAATACTATGATATATAAAGAAGCAAAAGATGTGTATTCATATCCAAATTATGTGCAGCTAATATTTATTTTTCCTTCGAGATAAGGAGATTGAGAAGTTGATCCCTTTGCCACTTGCAATCTTTTTGTAGCTTATGCTTTAAAGTTTGTTATTTTTAGCATATATATATATATATGTGTTTTTTTTTTTATTTTAAAGTTATTTCTGGTTGAAAAATTAAGTTTGGAAATGAGAAAATATAATTTCCTTTTATTTAAGAGAGAGTTACTTTATTCATAAAGTATTAAACACTAAACAATCAATATTTGATACGTGATTATCGTATTAACTTTTGTAATGCAATTATATATGTATAGTCCAACTAACTTTATTTTGCTAAATTGACAAATGAAAGCAATCACAATTATGAATCGGCCAAAGATTACATGTACATGCAACTATCATTTATATACATTAATTATTTTTTATTTCAGTAACTGTTAATATATCAAAATTGACAATTGCTTCTTTGCAGATGTACACCATGAATAGCTTGACATTTGGCAATCATCTAAATATTCTACGAAAGACATATGTCAGTTTTATTTATGCACAACCACTATAAAATGCTACTTTTATTATAGCTTGCTGATATGTGCTAGGTTGTAAAAAGAAAGAGGCTACAGTTTCTTAAACTATAACGTGATTGAAGTACATAAAAATACTACAAAAGGGACATTTCTTTTCCCCTAAAGTCCAATCACTTTCATTAAATCTGTAAATGAAGATGTTCTTTCACATTTATCTGAAAGCAACTTCCAGTAGGTTTATGCTTTACGATGATAATAAATATCATACGAAAATGAAATTATAAAATATATCATATACACGTGCAACTATAAAATATTTGTACTAATTAACATGAAATACACGTGCAACGTACTTGTCCAAATACTAGTACCAAAATATGTGCAAAAATAGACCTCCTCATTTACCCAAATTAAAAGATTAGTTCGATTAAGGTAACCTATGCAATAAAATGCTCTTTATGAAACTCAAAGTTAAAGCCTAATGAGTGCCTTAAGTTACTTATGTTAATACACTAGTAAGATAATCTCCCCTTCATAGAAAAATGCATTTAAATCGCTTTTGTGGTTATCTTAAATTCTAAACATGCATTAAATACCATATACTACACAGCTAATCAATTGATGTTATAATTTTAGATTCCATACTCTATTATGCTAGATCATTCTTTCTCCGGACAAATTTAAATTCATTTTGTCTGAAATTCACTTAAATATGTATCGATTCATTAATTATATTGATCGTACATACCCTACATATAGAGTTAATTTAGGATTTACTCAAAAACTTGTTAGATTATATACTACGATGATCAACTCTTTTTCGGAGATTTTATGCATTTAGACAACTTTTGTTTGTAGTTGTATGAGATTCATATAATTTTAAAGGTTTATAAAATCATTATGTTTATTTTGAGTAGATTTTACTTGATACTCAAATTTAAAGATCTAAAATAGCACATCATCTACTTTTGAATAAGACAAAATAAACGATCAAAATGAACTGGATACTATTGGAAAGGTCAAAGGTAGCCAACTATTAGTATGAATTATAACAACTCACAATTAAAAGAAGATTATCAAATAATGTTGTATAATTAAAGAATTATTTCAACCTAATCATTCATTTTTTTAGATGTAAGTAATGGCTCTAATTCATCTACACCTTCTAGTTAACATTTCTTATAATTTTATAAACTAAAATCATTTGAAATTATGTCCATATCATATGAACTACATATTTCACGACATTTTATTTTTAATTATCTTATCAACTATCGATAAACTTTCATATAATTTGACCATGGTATATAAGGATAACACGAAAAAAAAAAAATACCTTACGCACAATAAATAATCTATTGAACGATATTTTATTTTTATTTTCACTCACGTTTGTCAAGAAATTATTTCATGTTTCATATAACAAACCAACTAACCTTTTTATAGTAGTTCCTAGTGTTAAGATTGTTCCACACATATATATTTTTTTGATAAGATAATATTGTTATACAAATTTTATGGAGTATATGTATTCTTCAAATTTTCTAAATTAAAAATTTAACATGTAAGTTCTTAATTTCTTTTTCTTTTTTTTTGTTTGAAATAAAACCTTCACATTTTTAAAGCGTTAAACCAGAAAGGAACTAAAATATTTAATGAAATAAATCTGAAAAATAATACATTATACAAATAATAAATAAGTGTCCTTTCTCACATTGTAGTAAAATTATAGAAGAATAAATTGATAAGGCTTTATCGTAAGTTCTAGATGATAAATTTAACATGTTTCCTAAGTTAATTTAACATAAGCTAGTGTATTATTCGAGTGCTTCGGATATTACGAACTCTTTGCCAACTAGTGCAACAGAGCCGTTTTATGAATCAAACGTAGACTGTTAAATCAAATGAGTTAAAATAATTTAATTTAGTAAAATTCATAAATACTTAGGAGTAATATTTAGTGGAAAGATAACAATAACCTAACCATAAATAAAAGTAAACACAAGGCACTTGCCATTTCAAAAAAGGGAAATAAAGAAACAAAATGCCACGCTTCTCAAACTTGATTGGCGGACTCGATATTCCAAATTAAAGCAAATCCAATAACCCCCGATAATTCCGACCCCAATCTCTCAGCGGGATTCTCCCCTACTTTTATTTTCCAACAACGAAAGCCCTCCATAAATTCAACGCTTTAAATTTACACCATTTATCTCCCCAAAACAAAAACAAAAACAAAAAAATAAAAAGAGCCCTGTTCTTTATTTTCTACTCAAAAAATTTCACTCATTTCTTTAGGGTTTCACAAGATCCTTTTCCTCTTCTCTTTGTGCAATACGCGGAGCAATTGATTTTGTTTCTTTCTGATAAACGCTATTTCTAGGGTTTGATGGTGTGAAGAGTTATTGTAATTTTAAATCTATATAGATTTTTCTAGGAGATCTTGAAGAAAAAACGATGTCGGCTTCAGATAAAGAGCTAGAAGAACAACTTGCGGAAGCTGGGAATAAGCTTCTTCAGCCTCCTTCTTCACTTGACGAACTCATCATCTTGCTTGACGTAAGCCCTTTTTTTTAATTTTTTTTATTCGCTTCTGTAGAGTTATTGCATTTTAAATTTCTTACATGGTGTCTTTTTTGCCTATTTGGTATATCTTAATATGCTGCCGTTGATGGTATTTTCTTTGAATGTTCTATTAAGGATATAACTTTAGTATCTTGAAAGTATTCTGGTTCTTGCTCTATAATATCCAGCACTTGAACACTGTTATCAACTTTTCTTTTTTGATTGGTAAAGTAACTGTTATCAACATGCACACAAGGGAGTAACCTAGTTGCCAATGAAGTGGGAGGAGAACCATGGGGTCGAAGGTTCAAATCCTAGCTGAGGCAAAACACACTAGGTGCTTTCTTCCTCTATCCAAAACTTGGTGGACAAAGTTACTCAGTACTTGTGCCAATGCCTGGCCACCACCGGCATTGCAAAATTGAGAAGCCTTAATGAACTAGGCCACCTTTTTGTGGGGTGACGTTCCCTAGTGAAATTTTTTATACATGGATTTGTGTTTTAACAATTTCATAAATCCATTTAGAGTAACTCTGGACGGTGCATCTTCATGTGCCCGGTTACTGAGTGATAAACAGTGGCAATTATTTCAAATTTTGGAACCATGGGTTTCCTGTGGAACACCCACCCTTGATAGCTTGCTGATGAGGATTGCATGTTCTGTTGATACAAATGGGAGCTATTAAGGACATGCCAAACTATGTCCTTTAGATTTTTATTTAAAAGATTTGGTTTGTGAGTTTTTATGCTGCCATAATTCTCTTAGGAAAATGCGTAAAACCTTTACCTGTGCGACTAAAAATGGTGCTAACTAATCGTCATCACTTCATGAATGTGTGTGTCTGTATGAACCTTTGAGAGTGCTCTAATACAAAATCTCAGGGGAAGAGAATCAAGTTGTCCCGTATTTCTTTCTCTCCTTCTTTAGGTGAGTCATTGAATTTTAGCTAGAGAGGTTACTTTTAAAACTTTTCTGGAAGTCATCCCCCATAGTAGTATGGTAAGGTTATGTGGAGAACTGGAGATTAAGAAATGCCAGAGTTTCTGAAAGCAAAAAGGAGAATGTAGTTAATCGTAAGTACAAGTGTATATTTTTGTTTAATTTTTGGTGTAACAAGATTCACAGCAAATGTTTTAGAGCCGGAGGCTTTTGTTTACTTTGTAGGTTCTTTACACTTATTGATTTTTTTTTTTGGATGTACTCTTTCCCAGCATTAAGGATATTTCTTACATTGCCTGCCAAAAAAGGTTATGTAGAACTTGTTCTCTTCGAAAAGCACCAAGAAAATCTTATTATTGCTCATCTTCATCAATTTCTGTGAGAACTACTTTCGGTAATTCTGGTTACTGTGCTTGGCTAATCTTAATATACTTTTGGTTTTTTCTGCTTTAAGCAAGTAGAATCTTCCCTGTCAAAGGTGGACCAATCACCGGCTAAATCAATGCATGATGCACTTTCTCCATTGATGAAGGCATTAGTTGCAACTGACCTCCTGAGGCATTCTGATCTTGATGTGAAGGTCGCAGTTGCTTCTTGTATAAGTGAGATAACTAGGATTACTGCACCGGATGCTCCATATGATGATGAGAAAATGAAGGTATGTGAAGTTTGCTTTCTCATAGTTCTTTCTTATATATCAGCCCTCCAATAACATTCCACTTGGTTGATACAGGATGTCTTTCAATTAATTGTATCATCCTTTGAGAATTTACATGACCAGTCCAGCAGATCATATAATAAGAGGGTGTTGATCCTTGAGACAGTGGCCAAGGTCAGGTCATGTGTTGTCATGTTGGATCTAGAATGTGATAAGCTCATTACTGAGATGTTTCAGCACTTCCTTAAAGCTATAAGGTATTGCCATATATCTTAATAGTTCAACAGTAATTTTGTTTCTGTAATGTTTGGTTATTTGATACCAGCGAATGTTCTCGGATTTATATTTTTTTGAGAATATGTCTGAAGTTATAATCGCCCACATTCCATCAAAGTGTGTGATTTTAGATTTATGGGATTGTGAGCTTCTCATGTTTGTTTACACTTTTAAGTGGAGCTTCTAGTTAAGAAATCTCCTTTCCAAAAACGTCGGCATGGTTATGGGGTTAATATTTGAAATTATGACCCCTCATGTGGTATTGTCTTCTATTTTTATCTTTTTGGACTTCTTGCAAGTTGCATCATCATTTGGGTGCCTATACTGGGGTGTCTGTGGGATTAGTGTGATTGTTAGAGAGCAGGAATGAGGAAATCTATTGGTTACTTATTTTGAATATCATTATCTAATTTGATCAACTTTTATGAGTGACATTGAAAATGGTTTTCCCTAGTTGTTAAAGATATTTTATTTCTTTAGCCGAGGGTCTATCGGAAATAGTCTCTTTGCCCTTCCAAGGTAGGGGTAAGTCTACGTACATCCTACCCTCCCCAGACCCCACTTGTGGGATTACACTGGGTTGTTGTTGTTGTTAAAGATATTTTATTGATATGTGACATGACATAATCCCATAGTTGTTTGGAGATATTTAGCTGGTGATTGGCCAGCAAAAATTTCAGAAGCTTTGCAAAAAAAAAAAAAATTGGGTTAAAACTTTGGTAGTTTTCTTTTTGAAATGGAAAATCTTCTGGAACAGTGGAAAGAACAATTAGTTTTTCTTTCTTCCTGATAACATTAAAAAGCTTATCAATGACTTGTTCAGAAAATACTCCAAGCATGCTCTTGATAACTATTTATAAAAGTAGCAAGATGGTAGGTTTTACATCTAAGATGGTATTTAGATGCATGGGTTGTCTATCAACAGTGTACATCTAATCTCTGGAACATTACCCTTCTGTCAGTACACTCAACTGTGCTCCATGTTAAAGCTCAGAGTAGTTTTCTTTTGGAATGGTTGTACACATGTAATGAATTACTTGCTGCAATGGTATAACTGGATAATGTCGTTTAAACTTATCAAATAAATGGATAATGTTGATTATGCAATCTTGTGGCCTCTGTTTTCTCCCCCATGTGTTTCTTATTTTTTTGTATGCTAATTCCTTTTGAATATGTTTAAGCTTAGTAGTGAGCTCAACTGAATAGACTGTTCATTCATTGCCTTCCACTTTCAGAGAGGATCACCCAGAAAATATCTTCTCATCCATGGCAACTATCATGACTCTTGTGCTGGAAGAAAGTGAAGAGGTACCCCTTGAGTTGCTCACCCCTCTATTGGCTAGTGTTAAAAAGGACAATGAGGTATGTTGTGGTTGAAGAGATGATATCTTTTATGTTATTCCTCTTGAGTTCTCTGTAGTCTTGCGACAATGCTAAATTTAATAAGTTTCTTTCAGGAGGTGACACCAATTGCTAAAAGGTTGGGGGAAAAAGTATTTGCAAACTGTGCAGAGAAGCTTAAACCTTATTTGGCGCAAGCAGTAGAATCATTGCAAATCTCTTTGGATGGGTACAATAAAATTGTTACTTCAGTGTGTGAAGGGACTCTTCCAGCTGTTGATCATATCAATGACAGTGTTCCAAAGGAACAATTGGTTAGTCAACTTTTATTTCTAAATTATTCTGTGCCTGAACTTTTGCTGCTGAACTATTGCTGTATAGATTAACATGGAGTCTAACTTCACCTTTACATTTTCCCACATAATCTAGGGAGTCTAAGACAATAATCTTTCTCGTGTTTAAGTTGTGGGTTTAGTTAATATCTGCTGGCCTGGTAGTGGTGATGTCTTGTTGATGTTCACAGAGTTAAAAGGTCCCTTTCCTATTCCTGTTGAAAACCTGATATGCATTCGTTGTTCCTCAAGGCTTAGATATGATAAGAGCCTGCAAGTTTCAGTTTCTTTTTCAAACAGTACACACTTGTTTTTGCTCCCTTGCTCCAATTTGACAAAGTATTTAATTTTGTAATTGAATTAGAGGTGTAAAATGGCTCCACCAATTATAAGAGGGAGCAAAAAAGTGCCTTGAAGGAGAGTTTCTGTCTGTAATGTATTTGCCCAGTGAGATTATAGAGCAAATACATTGTCCTTTCTTTAAAAACATTTTTAGCATGTATAAATCATAGCAATAAAAAAGATTACTCTTTTTTTTACATGATCTATGCATGTGTGGAGAGTAACTATTGTTGGAAAGTATAGCTCTCTTGATGTATCTTTAACTAGTTAATTCTAAATGCAAATTTTCATCTGTCAGTGCTTGTGTCTATTGACTGACGCGGTAACTGCTGAAATTCTGCTGTTTCATTGGGAAGATATCTATCTATTTCGCCTTGAGAGGGATAGTTACTTATGCATGGCTCTTGGAAAGAGTCAAGGCTGCAAATCATGTTTCACTCTTCTCTTTCAGTAATATTGAAAATGTAATCAATTCACTTGTACGGTGATAGTACATTTGGTGCTATATCTACTTTAAATTATATCTGTTTGTCTAAAAGAAAATCAACTTCCTTGTTCTTTCCATGTCGACCTGTCACATATCAGGAATTGAATTCATTATTTTCTTTTTTCTTTTTCCGATGTTGATTCTGATCTACTATTGTTGCAAATTTTTTGCCTGAGTAACTGCTTGAAGGTCTGCTTTCTATAACTGCTAACAATGTAAGTACCATTATGCCACCTCCTGGAGTTTTGATATTGATGATCTGTATTGATGTGTTTTCAAGGCTGCTGAGGGCAAGTTGGCTGATCTTCCAGAGGCTGCTCCGGCAACTCAGGTGTGAGACTTTGAATAACTTTGTTAAATATTTTTTTTCCAAAATTCTTGTCATAAATTTATTGTATATTGCCTCTGAATCATATAATTTAGGGTGATGGGAGCAAAGTGGCTACAGCATCTTCAGATGAGGCAGGCCAGGCATGTGGTTTGGATATTATCTAGGTGTTTGGACACATTAATATTTGCAAATAATGAAATATCAATTGCAAATGAATGCGTCTTTTGCAATTTTGTCCATTATTTCACCTTTACTTAAAATAGAGAGTTTGAAGTTGAAAATCCTGTTTGAGGAGTATTTCAAGTGAAATAATGGTTCACTCACAAAACTTCTACTCTTTTCCCAAGAGAAATTCATGTCCAAACACAGTGAACAACTCCAAATACTCTTTTTCAACTTCAACTTCAAATACATATTTTTTCACCTTCAACCAAATGTTGTCCTAATGGGTCCTTAGTTTTTTTGTGTTGGTAAATCAGTGAATATGACCCTTTTGAGTCAGTAATGTCTTTAATATTTGTAATGGATGGTGTGGGATTGAACATGTTAGCACCATAATATTCTTATGACATCGTTGACTGGCTGTTATTACAAGGTATTTATTTGGTAACTTTCTTGTCTGATCAGATGGCTGAGAGCGTAAGAGAAGAAGCACGTTCAGAAGATATTGACCCCACCGTGAATAGATCTCCCAAATCAATCACAAGTAATGGCGTTAGTCAGGAGACTGTGGGATCGGCTGCTGAAGCAGAACTCTTAGCAAATGCTGGAGACCATGATGAGGTGGATCTGCAAGATGCTGCTAAGACACCTTCCAAATCTGAGTCTGATGATTTAAGGGCTGGAAAGTCTACAAATTCAGAATCCAAGTCAGAACAAACTGCTAAGAAAAGAGGAAGAAGGACAAACTCTTCAAACTCAGCAGAATCTTCTCACCAAGCTCCTGATGATAGTGAAAAAGAAGCTGAGAAGCTTCCAGATCATCAGAATAATCAAAACAAAAATGACCAAAGTTCAGCTTCTGAAGATCCAGCGGTTGAGCAGTCTAACTCTTTGGAGAAGCCGGAAACTACTCTTCAGCACTCTGCACCCAAAGAATCTGAGGGGGAAGCTGTTAATGTTGCTCCTTCGTCCACTGTTCTGAGCCTTCCTGATGAGAGTGCACCGAAGAAAGGTGGTCGGCGAAAAGAGGACAGCTTAAATCAAGAGTGTGTGTCTGAGAAGGAATCTGAAGCTACAAGTGACTTGGAGGTTAAACAGGTGAGGCGTTCTTTGAAGAAAGCTCCTTCGGAGCCTTCTCATAAGGAGAATGAAGGTGGATCGACCAGCGATGGGGAGGCGAAAAAGCAGAAGAAATCGGGTAAGAAGATTGATACCAAGAATAAGAATCAGGTTGGTCCATCTGTGAGAAATAAAGAAGATAGCAAAAAGCGTGGACGTGGAAAAGCTAGTCCGGTAAAAAAACTCCCTCAATCCTCTATTTAATATGATGTTGTAGTAATTTATCTTCTCTTTATGTAACTTTATTTCTCTGTTGGATTTATCAATATCTCTTCATGTCCGTCTTATAAGTTGTCAATTTTAACTGTGCAGGAGACAGCGCCTCCACAAGAGTCACCTGATGACTCTGCTAAACATGAAGGCCGTGAAGAGGATATTCCCAGGACGAGTGCAAAGAAAAAGCCTGCTTCAGGCAAGGACAGGGTAAGCATTTTACATTTTTGTTTTCTTGTTATTATGAACATTTATATCTAGATAATAATGTTACATGCCATGCTCTATTTTACAAATATGGATTTTGTCCTGTTTGTACAGTTCTTACAACCGAGCCTGTTAGACTTTATTTCTGCGTTAGACTTGCCATGACCCTCCATGCCTGTCTCATGTTATCGTATTGTTTTGCAGGAGATAGTACCTTCGCCAGAGTCTCCGGATAACTCTGCTAAGCATGAAAGTAATGAAGAGGAAACACCCAGGACAAGTGCAAAGAGAAAGCAGCGTTCTTCAGGCAAGGACAAGGTAAGCATTTTAAATCATTGTTCATGTTGTTTAATCCTTTCTTATTTTCTGGGTTTCTATCATACTAATATTTTGTTTAATCCACTGGTGCGCACTTTTCCTTCTCCCCTTCTATTGTTTTCTGCCCCACTTCTGCAACTTAATCCTTTCTATATTTGCGGTAATTGTTTTGCTACTTTTTTTCTTTTCTTTTTCCCCTCTACACTGCTCGATGTTTTCTTTGCTTGACCTAAGGTATTGCCTTCTCCTCCAAACTAGCAGGAGTGAAAAGCCATGTCCAGCTACTGGGGTTGCACATTTCTCCCTGCTATATTTTGTAGCTATTCTTGAGCCATAAGTTAGCTTCTAGATGGTGAAGGAATTATACCAGCAAATGTAACAATTAAAGTTAATAAAGTGCTTATTTAGTACAGTTGTGTTTGACAGTCCAATGCTGATACTTAACTTGCTATCACAATGATCCCAAAATTCTGCCCTGTCCTTAACTAGCTGAAATTAAAACTGGATATGCAGGAAGGAAGGATTCACAGATCCTCTCTGTCCTTAACTAGCTGGAACTGTAACGAGATACAAACTCCGGTTTAGGTCTCAGTGCTACAGGTCTGGGGACAGAAGTAGAGATTCAGCTCAGTAAAATCTGTTGTTCGAGAAGACAACAACAATAACAACAACAACAAAAAAACCAGTGAATTCCTTCTATTGTTGTTCGAGAAGGAACTCTAGAAATTAGTTTCATGAAGAGATTCACTTATTGCAATATTTATTTACTACATGAGTGATAAAGCATACTAAAACTTGTGGTGGTTTGTCTTACTTTTGCAAGAATCTAGATCTTTCCGTGTGAAACATCACTAATCTATTGGATACATGGCAATTGACGGTTCTGATGTTGAAGTTGTAGAAGTGAAGGTTGACTTTGCTATACTTAGCCGCTTTGTCTTAGGAATAGTAGTTCTGAATAGGATTAAACGTTTCTCTTATAGGTGATGTCTCATCATTTGTTCTCCTTATTGTGTAGGCGATCTTTTAGCACATCAGTCAAATGACATGGAAGGGTCCATTTTGTTCTTTTAGGAGTTAAATAGATAGCAATCTATCAGTATATCGGTACAGCTTTATTCTCTCCAGAACTACAGCTCGCCTTTTTTTAAACCCCAGCTCACTGGGTGATGTAACTTCCATATTTCATCAACCTCAGGCCTAAATGATCTTCTTCTGTTTCTTCAACATTTTTCTGATTTTTTTTCTGTTTATATATGTTGAGAACTGTGTTCAGGATACAACAGCTATTTTTGAGCTGTTTGTTTTTGTCACGCTTCAATTGTTTTGGGTCATGTCATTCATGCTTTTGTTTACTCATGCAGTTGTGCTATATGGTATCCTATATGTATCTTCCAAGTCCATTAGCATGAGAGCTGGGGTTTACAAATATGGATTTTGTCCTGTGTTTGTGCAGTTATTACAACCGAGCCTGTTAGACTTGCCATGACCCTCCATGCCTGTCTCATGTTATCATTTTGTTGTGCAGGGAATAGTACCTTCCCCAGAGTCTCCTGATAACTCTGCTAAACATGAAAGTAATGAAGAGGAAACACCCAGGACAAGTGCAAAGAGAAAGCAGCATTCTTCAGGCAAAGACAAGGTAAGCATTTTAAATCGTTGTTCATGTTGTTTAATCCTTTCTTATTCTGTGTGTTTCTATCATATTAATGCTCTGTGCTATTCTTGTTCTATTTTGCAAATGTAAATTGTGTCTTTATGCTGCAATTCTTCCAACCGATCTTTGTTATAAAAGTCGATAGTTGTTAGCAAGTAGTATAGACTTACCATTTGTTGCCACCTGATAAGTGCTTGTATACACACACGCATTTTACTTGTTCTTTAAAATAGCTGTTTGTTCCAAAACCTAACATTTGTGTTAGGAACCAACAAAAGCCAAATGCTAATGTCACCTTAATCTTGCTGAATACGTACTTCATTTTTTTGCTCTTATGTTTCCCCTTTCGTCAGGGGACTACTGCCTTTCTTTCTCCAACTGTCCCTCTTCTGTGTTACTGACATTTGTTGGCACTCATTGCTGATTGCTTGTTTTCAATTGAATTCACTTAGGATGACGGTTATCGTAAGTCATGTTTTATCTTGACAAACTGCTTTATTCTAGATTAAATTCATTTAGCTTCTACAATACTCCTGTGTGATTAACAAGTTGTTTGCCCGGGAGATTAATACCTAACCACACTGCCACTGTACTGCTTCTACTTGTCAGGTAAGCAAGACTGTGCAACGTGGTGAGAGCATGGTTGGTAAAAAAATCAAAGTTTGGTGGCCATTGGATGAAGAGTAAGTGTTTATCTTACTTTATTATGCTGCTGCCTGACATATTTTTCCTGTCCAGCATGTTTTCCCCCTCATTATTGACCCTGAGTTTGGAATTACTATCGTATTGAGTTCGCTGAAATTGCTGAGTAATTTCTCCAGTTCTATTTTATCTTGAATCTTTTTATCTGCATTAGTATATGTTACATCTTAGAAATGATATTCCCATTTCTGCGTCAATATGGGGTGCTAACCATTGTTATGCCATTGGTCTGCGTCTTGGGAAATGAGGATGCATGTGTTGGGATACCTCAAGATATGTATTAGAATTTATGCTGATATTCCTTTGTTGTCAGATTTTATGAAGGTGTTGTTGAGAAGTTTGATTCTGCCAAAAAGAAGTACAGAGTGAGTGCAGTTTGTTTTCTGCTTCGTAAAATTGAATTGTTTCATTTGCACTAAGCCTTCTATATTTGAATGATAATTTCTTATCAGGTTGTCTACACCGATGGAGATGTAGAAAACATAAATCTCACAGAGGAACGCTGGAAGTTAGTAGAAGATGATCCAATGTCAGAAGGGGTTAGTTACTGGCTGTAATTTGCATTTGCTATGATTTTGTTTCTCTTTGATACATTTGTATGCGCTCTGTTGACAGGAACAAATAGCAAGTGTTGATGCAGCTTCCGAAAGGTAAGCATAGCCGTTTATCACCTTATTCTTATTTCTTATTTAGTTTTCAAGGCATTTATTCACACCTGAATCTATAATTACTTACCAGGGTAGAGCTAGGAGCATCCTAATTGTCCACCTTTCTGGAACCCTTCTGCATTTTCTATCTAAGATTGTCCTTCAACTGTCTCTTTACCACTATAACTACGTACAAATACATCTTAACTGAAGAAAACAATAAAAGATTCTCAATGCTTTTTTATTATTTTATATTTCTGTGAACCTTTGTTGCTAAAAAGTTTAGAGATCTTTGGCCAAGTCTATCACTTCAACTTTTGCTGACTCATGATGTGTTTCTTAATCAAGTTGTTTGATTAGTATGGAATACAAAGCTAGCTTACAATCCAATTTTGCTGTATTCTATATGATGAGAAGTGATAAGAGTTTGTCTACAGGAGGGATGACTACCTTTTCTTTCGAAACCTTTTAGTTGCTTGGTTGATTTCGAAACCTTTTAGTTGCTTGGTTGACCAACTTGGAAATCTGTTAAAGGTTGTTGATTTCAAGTCTTATTGAGCACATGGTTAGCTAGTTTTAAATTGTTTTATTTTAACTTGTGTCTATATGGTTTGGCTTTGTTGGCCTGGTTTATGCAAGTTCTTGATTTCCTTCTTCTATTTGCAGCTGTTATGCTTTTTTAGTAACTGAAAAAAGTGGTAGGTATGATGATAGGGGGTTGGTTGTGATTTTTCTCCATGGAATTTCTTCTTTTTACTGTAGGATGAGCAAAGTGAGACCGTACTCATTTTGATGTCTGTACTCATTGCGTTGTATTTGTGAATGATTATGTTTTGGGAAATGTCATATTCATTCTTTCGTCTGCTTCCTTCCCTGATTCTCTGGCCTTCATTGATCTTGCTACACGGATGGGGCGATATGAGAAGCTGAATGTATGACTTATGCTTAAAAAGAAATTGAAACCTAAATAATTAAATGATAATTAGCTTTTTTCCTTCTCAATCACTATATATTACAAAAATATTTTTTTTAATGTTTCCACCTGGTGTTCTTTACCCGTTTTGGGACCCGACTAACCCGGATTCGTGGCGGGAAGTCCCACTTTGGGAGGTAAAGTGTTCCCTACCAAAGGAAACTCCGTACTTAGGGCTCGAGCATGAGATCTCATGGCTAAGGATAGGAAAGTATTTACCTCATGGCTAAGGATAGGAAAGTATTTACCTCATGGCTAAGGATAGGGAAATATTTACCCCCCCTCCACACTTTTGGTGTTAATCTTCTATAAAAATGATCTTTTCTTCATATTCTAGCAGTACGACAATTCTTTGTGTTTCTTTGACTCTGCTTTCGCTATGCCAGGCAGAAGAAGAAAAAACCTAGAAATGCTGAATCATCAGCGAAGCATGAAAGAGTGGAGGCTTCACCTAAAAGGTTGTATGCTCTCCTTAACCGTGTGCTTGTGTGATGTATTAACATTTTGTTGGGAAGCCTAACGGTTTCAGTGGTGGGACTCTTTCTGCAGCAAGTCAAAAGACACAGCAACAAAATCTGGACAGAAATCCAAGGATGATGGTAAGCTTAAGCACAACTTAAAAGATGGCACCTCAAAATCTGGCGGGAGAACTGACGGTACAACCAGCAGTAAATCTAGGGCCCGATCTAAAAAAAGCAGTGGCAAATCTGTTGATGATACTGAAAAGCCATCTGCTCGGTCTAAAGATGTTAGCAGTAGTACTCCCAAATCCAAGTCCAAGCAAGATACCCCGTCAACGACTGCCAACAAGTCCAAGCAAGAAACAGTTACAGCTGCCGTCAAGGCCAAAAATAAAACCCCTCAAAGTGGCGGCAAGCCCAGTGCCAATGGCATGGAGAAGCTAAAATCTAGTTCGTCAAAGGTTAAGGGAAGTGGGAATGAGAAGGAAAAAGCAACTAATTTGGCAAAAACCCCTGATAGCAGCTCTAAGGGAAAATTCTCTAGTGCGTCTAAGGAACGAGAAAGTGAGCCAAAGAGTGGAAAGAAGCGTGGGAGAGGAAAGAGCTGATTAGTTGATGCACATCTGTAATAGTGGAGCTTCTCTGTTAGTGCCTATGCTACATTCTTGGACCTGTTACAGCTCACCGAAGAGACTATAGAGCCCAAGTATGACTTGTATGCTATTTGCTGTCTGGCACACAATCTGGAGTCACAGCTTGCAAATGTGTCTTAGGTTCTTAGTTATGTTGGTACTAGGTTTCTGCGTAGTCTGTCAGTAAAGCATATTGGTAGCTGTAATTGGTTAGTTTTTATCATTTTGGTTGCTAGTTGTATTCACCCCTGTTATTTTTAACCCTGTAGCTTAGGAATTAGATACCCTGTTGGTGAGAAGTTTATGGATGTGTAAGCTGGATGATAAATTACTACTTTTTGTCCTTGCAGCTGGTAATCCAAATCGGGCTTTAATATGACTGTAAGTTGTTACATAAACTTATCTGTTAATACTGGGTTTGATTGCTGGATTTGGAGGTGGCAAATTAGATAGATTGGGCCTTAGGCAGGACAGCCTATTATGGGGATTGGGCTGTCCATGCGATCTTCTGTTCTTCCTTTTATGTATTTTTTGTCCTTGTCAGAATTGTGATTTTGGGTTGTCTTTTTGATGCTTGAGGGGCGTCAATTCTCATAACACGTCTGTACTATTTGCCAGAAGGTATATCTTTCCCAGTCTAAAGAGTTGATATATTGGTTTAAGTCTACTCGCACTTCCTCACTCCACGTATGTCTCTTGCACTCTCAAAGCTACAAAATACTTGGTTCTACCAATGTTGGTGGAATCCCTATTTAGCTCTGTCAATGTTGGAGGAATTCCTCTGTCTTTGTATGTGTACCCGTTTTAGAATGTGATCAAGTTGAGCTCGTGAAGATAAATTCACTGGGAGTTGTAATATTTGCAGAAGGATTTTTACCAAGTGCTATACAGGGTCGGTCAAAGTACGAAAGTGAGGGATATGTTGCTAAAAGACTTATAGGTGTTGGAGATGCAATTATCTCCGAGTTCCTCTACTTAGTTTCCTCTTAAGTTCTTAGTGGTACTACAGTCAACCCTCTCTATAACAGTCTCGTTTGTTTCAATATTTTTTTTGACTTTTATAGTAAATGATTATTATACACCTTTAATATCTTTTGAAGTAAGTTAATACATTATTAATAAATTCATAACTTAAAAGTATAAAAATTTAAACTATAAGGCAGGTGATTTAAAGCTACGTAAGAAAATAATTTTTTTCAAGATTGATAATTTTTTTTAGTAATTGTAGCTTATTTTGTAGATTTCATTCTTTTAGTAGCGATATAACGCTTAAATTGGCGAAGATTCGTATCCAAATTTTCAGCAAAAAGGTATCCAATAGCTTTTCCTTGATGACAATCTAAGAGCTTAACATTTAAATTTTCTATCTAAATATTTTTTGGAATTGGTCCAATAGAAAAGACATGTACAATTTTTCAAATCTTATGCAAGAAAGAAATTTTGTTTAATAGAAAAGATTGTGTGCATATTTTTAGAATTATTATTAGTAATATTAAAGATTCTATATGGATGTTATAGAGGAGTAATTTATGAATGTTTTGGTCTAATCTCCCTTCATTTTCTGTTTTATTTTTTGGTTTCCTAAAAATATAAAACCAGCTTCTTATGGTGGCTATGTTTGTAATCGCTTGTTATATTTAAAAAACTACTATTTTTGCAAATTAAATTCAATATTCCTTGACCCGTGTAGAGGGAAATGTGCTCTTAAACCGAGAAAGATCGTCTCTGAAACCTGACAGTTGTAGTTGCTTCATTCAAATAGTAGAAGCAATCAGTAAAATTCATGAAAATCCTTGAATGCAGAAAATGTCGAGAAGTGTTCACGAGCTATAATGCGCTAAACACTTTCTAGTTCAGCAAAAAATTACGTATAATCCACAAAAGGAGAAACTAGGAAAGGGCCTGTAAACTACCATGGTGAACATACACTAGACTACAAATGCTTGAGCAATCACACCACAAAGAGAGCTCTAGCAGATTGTAAGTGAAATACAGGTATCACCAATATGAGTTGCTCCGAGGGGCGGCTAAACTATAAGGCAACTAGAGCAATGGCTTGGGTCCAAACTTTTTGGGGCACTTTTTTTTTTTAAAGTTGTATGTTATATATTGACCCAAATTCTTGTTACACATAAGTTACCATCTAAGTTACCACCTTACCTATGGATCAAATACATAAGCTAACACCTTACCTATGGACCAAATCCCCGTTACATATTTTTTGCGGACGAAAATAATTTTAAACTCAACCTTTTCACGGTGTGTCTAATACACACTACTTTTATATTTAAGCATCTCAGAAAAAGTGAGGCATGTCATGCACTAATAATATAGTGCCACGTGTCATTAGTTTTAAAATAAAATAAATTAATATAAAATTATAAATATAGCCCTTAAATTTTCTCCTTCCATCTCTTTCTCTTCTCCACCAAATTTCCATTGACACCGACCACCATAAAAACATCCACAATTATTACCTTCCGATTACAAAGCAAAATCAGGAACGCAAGTACATTAGTCACGACTTTGTGAGTCCAGATTCAAATCTAACATAAGAAATATGATGCAAAACTCAAAACTCCATTAAAATTGGTATGGCGAGATCCATGGCTGCTCGATTCACTTCGATAGAGTCAGTCAAATCTTGGCTTCTTTTGGCTCATCTCCGATATCCCTCAACCACCAAATTAATATCCTACCACATTAATTTTGTGTTCCTAAGTTGTTACTACTAAATTAAGATTCAAACCCAAATCTATAAAATTCTCTTATATAGATTTCTTTTAACTTTCTTAATCAATTTCTTCCAAAGCCTTTATATATTATTGTTATTCTTAAAATTATGGACAGAAAAGATGGGGAAAAGAGGTAGGGAAGAAGACGAAAATGGGGAAAGGGGGAAAGGTCAGCAACGAACACACAGGGGAGGGGTTCTGGGGAAGAAGAACAGGGAGGCGGTGAGTTAAAAGTAAAGGGAAACAAAATATTTTTTAAAAAAGCAAAAATTAAAATTTTGACATGTGTCCTTTAAGTAAGGAATGGGACAAAAATTCTTCCGTTTAACGCGCTTACAATTTTTGTTAAACACGCGCCTTGCCACATAACAAGAGTAGTATGTATTATACACACTCTGAAATGTTAAGTGTGTAAAGTTATTTTCGTCCGCAAAAAGTGTGTAACATGGATTTGGTTCATAGGTAAGGTGATAACTTATGTATTTTGCAATATATATTATAAAAATAAAAATAAAATCGTGCATATATTGTTGGAAGCGAAATGTTTGGAAGAAAGTAACTTTTTACCTTTTATGTGGGGATTGTTGGTGTTTAATTTCTTGCCTAATTATATCCTACCACCTAACATGGACGCACATGACTATTCCTATATTTTTGTCTTTTTCATTGTCTCTTTTCACTTATTCTTACTTTCTTCTTATTAACTTGTAATGACTCGACCAGTCGTTTTGAGTATCAGAGCCCCGTTTCCCCCTTTACTACTCAATTTGGGCTTTACAATTGTTGTGTGACTTGCCGGGGTAATTGGTTCGGGTTCGGTGAGGTTTTGGAATGAATTGGAATACTTAGTTCCTAGGTTTAAAACTTAAGCTAGAAAAGTTGACCGGCTATTGACTTATATATAAACGACCTCAGAATTTAATTTTGAGGATTCCAATAGCTCCGTGTGGTAATTTTGGACTTAGGAGCGTATCCGAAAAATTATTTGGAGGTCCGTAGTGGAATTAAGCTTGAAATGCCGAAAGTTTGACTGAGGGGTTAACTTTTTGATATCGAAATCGGAATCCGATTCTGGAAATTGGAATAGCTTCATTATGTCATTTATGACTTGTGTGCAAAATTTTAGGTCAATCAGACTTTATTCGATAGGTTTCGGCATCGAATGTAGAAGTTGAAAATTTCATAAGACTAAAGTTTCAAGTGAGTTCGCACAAGACCTAACTTCAAATGAGAATAACTCTCGTGATATGAAGTGTTATATGATTTATTACCTATTAAACGAAAGATCTTTGAGTCTAATTTCTAACTCTTCAAACCGTTCGTCATTTGGACATTCCTACAAGAAGTTATGAGCAAATTACCAAAAGCTGGAAAATGCGATTATGCGGCAAATTGTGCGACCGCAAATCAATTATGCAAGCCGCAAAACAGGTTTGCGACCCGCAAAATGGTCACCGATATGCACAGCACACACCACTTCTGGGCATCAGTTTTGCGATCCATTGTGCGACCCGCATACCTATTTGGCGGTGCATTGTGCGATCGCATACCTATTTTCGGAGGGGTAAATTTTTTATTTTCATAATCCGACCCCATTTTGATAAATAGGCTTTGGAGCTTATTTTGGGATAATTATCTGATGATTTTAGAGAGAAGTGAGAGTGTTCTAGAGAGAGGAAGTAGATGAAGTGTCTTGTTCATCAAATTCTTGTCCAAGACTTGAAATCCAACAAGAAATCCCTCAAGTTCTTCATCAAAGAGGTAAGGTTCTAACCCCTAATCTTCAATTTCGAGTTTGGGTAATGATGGGTGATTAAGAGTATGATTCTTGGGTGTAAGAGTATTATTTATACGTATCAATAAGGTTTATGGAAAGAGTGTTGAGTTCAAATGGGTAAAGATTGAGTTGAAAATGGTAGAAATCTTCAAAAACTTCAGTTGAAAATTTGAAAGGTCGAGTTGATGTCAGAATTTGGTAAAATTTGTATGGTTGGACTCGTGGTTAGATGGGAGTTAATATTCTGTAACTTTTATCGGGTTCCGAGACATGGGCCCCATGGGCGAATTTTGGGCCTTAATTTCGGATTTTGTAGAAAATATTAGTATTTTGATATGGAATTAATTCCTATAAATTTTATGGATTGAATCAAATTAATTGTGACTAGATTCGAGCCGTTCGAAAGTTGATACGCGCAGAAAGGGATTTCTGGAGCATTGTTTAGCTTGCTCGACATTGGATTTGGCTTGTTCGAGGTAAGTAACAGTTTTAAATCTGGTCCTGAGGGTATGAAACCCCAGAATTTTTTGTCATGTGATTATTTTGGAGGTGACGCACATGCTAGGTGACGGGCGTGTGGGCGTGCACCGAGGGAATTGTGACTTGGTCCGTCCCGGGGAAACTTAAAAGCTGAATAACTTGTTGATAGTTATGTGCTCTCTATGTGTTGTGGAAACTTGACTATAAGTCATGCTAGAAACCATGTTTAAGCTATATGTTGGTATTGTTGGGACCAACAGAGGTCGTGTACATGTGAATTATCTGCTTAAATTATTATTTTGTACTCAGTCACAACTTACTTGATTATTTTATCTCAGTCTCTATTGTTCATTATTGATGTATCATATCATTGTTGTTTGGGCTGAT